TACCATCCAAAAAATTTAATGTCAAAGGTCGTCAAAGACACAGATAGTGGGATGGGATGGGAAAGGGGCGTTACTCCGATAAGTGAATCGCCATGAGAGGGTCTGGCAGTTGACAGCCGCGACTGCGCAATGGACAGCCCAGCCATTGGACGAATAATGAATAAACAAGCCGGCATTCCACAGAGGCAGGCAACCGGTTGTGATTAGAATTGAACACACATCGGAGCTCCCCCGACCTGGATCGGAGCGGAGCTGGCTGACATGACGGCGTGCGTCTGTTGGCCATTTGCCAGGCGACTGGCAAGCCAATTGGTTATAGCATTTCATTAAGATTGCCAGGCATTGGTGAGGATGTTGGCCAACATCGTGGACAGCTTGGGAATTGTTTGTGATGCAAATACGATAGGATATTACGAGAAAGACTGCCATGAAATCACTTGAAAAGCTACCAGAGAGTAGTCTATGAAAGTATGACTTTAAATGGCTATAGTAGTTCCCCAATAATAGCCCATTTCTTGTAGAAATTTCACTTGCTTTCCACTCTTTTCAGTCTTTCCTCGTTAATTGAAATTTTATTGGCGATTGTCAATTGTCGCCGACTGTCTCCGAGTGAAAGTACGCCCTAAGAGATGACTTTCTTTCGCTCAGATACAGTATCTGCCATTAGAACTAAGTACTTGGTCATTAAAGAGCCTCAAACAACGACTTCAAAGCACCGCCCCTCCATAACATTCCCACATTAAAAATGCACCCACAGACCAAGCAAACAGTGGCAGTTGAAAGTATACAACAGTCTATTATATTTTACGACTTTGAAGGCAATAATAATCATACTTTAAGATGGAAATTTTCTAAACTTTTCTTGAAATATCTAGTTGGTAGTAACACTTGGTCCTATAATCCTAGCCACCACTGTAGATATCTTTGTAGTTGCAGTTAACAAAGCGCAGTGAGGCAGCTAGTCAGGTCTATTAACCGGTTAATCTCTTCCTGGCCTAATTAGGCACCAGGCCACCAGTCATCAGTCACAACAAGCCTGGCCAGCCTGGCATGCAAAATGGCAACATCTCGGGGCCAGTTAGTGGCTCGAGTGCGTCATCTTAACTGTTTGTGGTGAGCTTGTTGGTGCAATTATGTTTGGGTTTCTTTAAGCCATTACATGAGCGGTGCTGCAAAGAAACCGGATGGTATCGGACCACACCTGAACCAGCAATAGCACCAGCTCCAGCTCCAGCTCCCATGAAGCAAAATTTCACACTTTTTAATTGCAAAGGGAGAGAGATTTCTCTTTTGTTTTGTTTGTCTGGCACTTTGGATAATCATAAAATCTATATTACTTCACATTACTAGGGGGGAGAGTTGCATAAGTATATAAAAGAGAGAAAGCTTTCCTTAATTATGTCATAAGGCTACCATAATGAGAGTTTCCCAGCTACTCTAGAACCTTTATCGTCTCATAATTATGCATCCAAGACACCGCACCCCCCAAGACGACATCTGCATACTTGATTACTTAATTTCCCAGCCAGTTTTCGGGGAGTGGTGGCCTAAAAGTATCTACAGAATAATCATAAATATTAATCGGCGAATAAATTATTTCGAGTACATGCAAAAATGCACAAATACGGAGGAAGAACCCCCATCCCTCTCCGCCTGAATGAAATTTCTATTTGCATGCATTACTCATAGTGCTAGATGGCTATATTTTTAAATATTTTTTTATTTTTTAGGTTACGTGCCTGCTGTGCTAATTATGAGAAACAAATATTTGCGATACTTGGGGCTGTGGAGTCTGAAAATGTGGAAAAGAAAACGTTTTGCCATAAACGGAAACTATTAATCAACTTTCACTTGTTGTGGTTTATTTGTCGCTTCCTTTTTTTTTATCTATCTATCTATCTATCTATCTATCTATGTATCTATGTATCTTTTGTTGTTGTGGCTGTCATTAGGCCTCCGCTCTGTCTGACTGGCTGGGCTAATTAATGGAGCTTGCCCATATTGGGTTGAATATTTGTTTTGATTTTGTCCCACGTTTTGGTTTCTGGCTCAGCAGGTTGTTGACTGATTAAATTCACATATTAATAGCTTTATCTGTATCTGAGGTTGATAAGCTCTTTAAATTCTATTAATAGCCAAACAAAATATATATTTTTAAAATCAAATTCAATTGAAATCTAGACCAACAATTAGTCATGCCATTGAACTCTGGCTTTGTCTCCACCTACGCTGACTCACTAAGCCCTTCTTCACCTGCCTCTGACTGGAGTTCTCGGCTCATTAAAAGTATCTTTCAACCCAATTCCATTACCCAATTAAGCGTGCCCTCAACAATGAGAAGAAAACTTGACTCATCTATAGTTTCTATATATTTTGAATGACTTTATGTTTTTTTTTTTTTGAAAGGCCCCTCCGCTTCCAAAGCCCAAAGGCGGACGTGCAAAAAAGCGTTAAACAAATAACAAAAAAAAAATAAAAAAAAAAAGAGTCAACAACCACGCTGGTATGCCTTTTGAAGCCGTTTGCCGGTTTATTGTTTTCTTTTTGGCTCTCGGAGGGGAAATTGTTTTCATATTTTATTTTCAAGCCAGGCCAACAATAAAGTGCCAACCAGAGTTACTGACTAAGCCACCAAAAAGGCAAAAATTAATTAAAATAATTAACAAAATACTAAAGCAAAGGTTATAAGGTTAACTAACGCCCAGAAAGTCCATAGACTCTGCCCCCTTCAAGCCCTAATATTTACACTTTACAGACTTGTCTCTGACTGGCAAGTGTTACAGGCTTTAAGCCAATAGCCCTAAGCCCACATTAGTACAAGAAGCCACAGAAAAGCACATCAAAGCAGACAGGGCCATGAAGGAAAACCCAATCGACCAAAAGAACTAGGAATTAAATAAAAAAAATATTTAAAAATTTGCATTCATCTCACCTTGTTTTAGGGCTTTGTTCTCTGATCTGCTAATTAACTTAATTTGCAATAATTGTAATTACACTGAAACAAAACTCCACAATACTATGACTATTTTTCAAATCAAATTTTCCGGTTCAGGGGCTTCCGTCTGAGGAACTCCAGATTAGCAATTTCCCCTTTTGGATATATTTTCAAATATTAGAGGAGCAGCCTCTGGCGCTTCCGTTTGTTTTACAAACCCACTGACCCCGAAACGAAATGAATTGAGAAAAATATAGAGACCCCCAGCCTCACTTCCCCTCACACACTCCCAACAACAACAAAAACAACAAGCAGAAACTGCAACCGGCAACAAGTTTTGCCAACATGACTGGCTATCCGATCCGGGTGTCCGAAGGGGAGGTGCCATGTACGCGAGGTGGGCAGCTATTACCGCGCTGCAGGTGCCAAAGCGACAGCTGCACCACCGAGAATTTCTGTTTTGCCTAGGCTGGCAGCAACTTAACATGTCCCAGACCCACTTTGGAAGGTGGGGAGCTTCTCACAAGCTCACTATCTGTATCTCAGTAGATGTATCTGTATCTGTATTTGTATCTGTATCTCTGTGTCTGTGTGTTTTTTGTGGTTTCTTGTTGTCTTCGTACATTCACCTCTCCTCCACCAGGGCCTTTTGTTTTTGCTTGGGTCTCTCTTTCGTTGCGGTACTCCTCTGTTTCTTTTAGCCATCTTTCAGAGCGACACTTTTCTTTTACGTTGCGGTTTTCCGGCTGGTTTTCATTATCGCCTCTCTCGCGATCTTTTCGGCCAACAATCGCAGTGACGAAGGCGGCACTTATGTCTTTTTAATCGGAGGCTTCTAGCACCTGTTTGTGGAAGCTATCTAAATGTTGTTCCTCTGTGTCATCATTTTGTATAATTTGTTTATTAATCTTGACATTCTGCAGCAAAGCCATGGGAATGCCAGTGACGAGATAACTCACTTCTGATGGCCTGAAGAGATAACCACCTTGATGTGGGAAAATGCGGCATTAAAGAATAAATAGTTTGAGTTGAAAGACCATTTGGTGTTATGGTTGTATCTCTTGGTTACAGGTTAGCAGATACCAACCCTAAAACTAACTACGTGCTTTGGCAACCATTGAAATGCAATTTTGGGAAACCAGAAACGAGAAATACCCAAGCACTTAAATAAACCCCTTTTTTTCATGGCCGACATGCTTGACTAAAGCCAGGACTCTTGCAAGTCAGCTGCTGACTGCAGAAGGGATAGTATTTCGAAATGCAATTTCCACTGACAACGCACACGCCCACGCGGAAATTGTGGAAATAGCTTCACTTAAACGGTTACCAGCCATTCCCCTCGCTTCTGGAGCTTCCTTATGCGAGCGAATGCCCTGGAAATCGACAAGTTCCAGTGCGCAGACAGACGAGTGCCTCCAAGCGGAACCGTTGACGGTTATTAAACTATGTACCTCCATAAGACAGAACCAGCCACACAGGAAGGGGAACAGAGACGAACCGAAGGGGGGACCGAGGGTTGAAATAGTTTAGTTCGGGCATAGTTCCGCTGCTTGACATCACTCGGCTGAACTCTGTCCGGAAAGAGAGTCTACAAGTAGTGCCAAGCCCTGAAAAACATCTTCATGATATTTGTACAAATGCCCTGAAATTTTCTGCTTTGATGAAGTTATTTGTTTGGGGTCGCTGGGTCTAGTCTTTGGAGGGGAAATTCTGGTTAGATATGATCGTGTAATGGAACTTTTAATTGGCTGGCAGGGGACTAACCAGGGGACTTCTTTCACCATCTTATGGAGGAGGAATCTCTCTATACTTTCTATGAAATATAGTCTTATATGCATTCTTGAAAGATTTCTCTGACATTCCTTTCTATGTGAACAAACTCTCTCTCTATTTACATAGTCTTCCCGCCCCCCACACATCCATCAGTGTTTACATTTGGCAACGGAAACTTAATGTTTGCCACATCTGCGCCAACTTTTTACTTTTTCGCCTCCGATTCCGTTTCCATGGAAGTTGTAAACCCAGAATCTAATTTTATCAAATTGTGTTCCTTTATTGTTTACAGATAGCCGGAGACTCTACCAAAATTAGAAACAATAACGTCACACTGGAGTCACAATACGATACGAGACACTTCCAAAGCTAAGAGACACCGTCCCTTCCTTCCTTCCGACTTCAACCTGTACAGTATGTCACATGATAAGAAGATGCTGGACCGCGAGGCAGTTCGTTCAGTGATACAGCAATGGAATGCCAATCGATTGGATCTCTTTGCGCTCTCCGAGCCAGACGAGGTGGGTTTTTTTAAACTATTTTATAAGGTAATTATGTTTAAATCTCCCATTTCTGATTCCAGAACCTGCTCTTCCATGGCGTTATGCGCTTCTACTTCCAAGACGCTGGCCAGAAAGTGGCCACCAAATGCATTCGCGTGGCCTCCGATGCCACAGTCACAGATGTCATAGGTAAGGGTCTTCTAAAACCTCTCCCTTAGAAACCGATAGCTTAAATGAGCATCTCCCACAGACACACTGATTGAGAAATTCCGTCCCGATATGCGGATGCTATCCGTTCCCAACTACGCCCTCTACGAGGTGCATGCCAATGGCGAGGAGCGGCGACTGAACGCCGATGAGAAGCCACTGTTGGTGCAACTCAACTGGCACATCGACGATCGTGAGGGTCGCTTCCTGCTGAAGAACATTGACCAGAAAACCACAGTAAGTGACCACCAAAGGGTCAAAGGTTGCTCTGTTTCTCACGGCTTCATCTCTTCCCCTCAGCCCATCGAACAGACAGATCTGAACTTCAAGCGGAAGCTCTCCAAGCGCGAGAAGAAGGAGCAGAAGAAGAAGGAGAAGATGGCCAAGCTCAGCTCTGATCCTCCCACCGCCAATGGCAACCAGCTGGGCATTGGCAACGGCATCGGCGGATCCGCGGGGTCGGCTCACATGAACGGCAACGCCGGCGGCAGCGGAGGAGATGGTGGCGATGCCGTGGCAGGGAAGCTGTACACCGAACTGCCGGAAACCTCGTTCACACGATCGATCTCAAACCCGGAGGCCGTTATGCGAAGACGCCGCCAGCAGAAGCTGGAGAAGAAGCTGCAACAGTTTCGATCGCGTGACGGCGGCCCCGACACGGGAGGAACGCTCAAGATTTATGGCGAGAGTCTATGCCAGGACGTGCCATACAAGACCCTGCTGCTCTCCATCCGGGACTGTGCCCAGGCAGTGGTCCGGGAAATGCTCACCAAATACGGACTAGAGAAAGCCGATCCTCTTCACTACTGCCTAGTTCAGGTGGGTACTACATTCTAGTCCTTAGAGTCCTTGTAACATCAAATCCTTATCATGTTTTCAGGTCAACAGCGACGGAACGGAGTACATACTTGACGACGATGAGTGCCCGCTATCGATACTCATGAATCACCCAACGTCACGAGGTGAGTGCTTCCTCCTTTCGCCTCAATGGCCGCCATTTGAAATCAATTTTCCTTTGTGGGGGAACCGACACTTCATTCATGAAAATCCCATGCATATCCTTGGCATAAAATTAGTCTTGTTTTATCAATAATTATGCTCCACCCCACCCACTCACCCACCCACTCGTTAAATAACTGGATGGACTGACTGACAGGGAACTTCCTATCAACAGAACCAAACAAGGCGACTGTTGCTATTTTGTAATTTCATATTTTTGGTAAAGTTGTGAGGACCTCGAGCTGAGTCAGTTGTCGGTTGGCATTTCTGAGCTTCGCGACGGAATTTCTTCGACTTTTAGTGAAAGTTTGACTTAAAATTTGTCAAAAATTGATATAAAAGAACTATTACATACTTGAGAAATATTTTAAAGAATTTATTAAATATTTATTAAGTTAAAACAATATAATTCGAAAACTTTAAGTCCAAACAAGTGCCTCTTATAATTTCGACAAAATGAAAATGAAAGATACTTGTTGTGAGAAACTACGTAAGTTTGTTCTTAAAAATAATTTTATAAATTATTTTATAAAATACTTACTTTTTTTTATACAATCCTTGTCGATTTAATAACTAAAATTAAGGTTTAGTTTCAAAGAATTTTTACCGCGAAGCCTTCTGTAAATCAAAGACAGCAACCCGAATAGCAAATACAAGAACCATTTTGGGACTAGTGTGTTGGGGGAAATATTTTTTAGAACAAATTATATCCATTGCTGGGAAATTATATTTCTGATAAAAATGCTGAGCAATAATAGTTGATAAAAACTAAAAATATATTTTTAAAATTAATATTATTAGAAATTTTTGTATAATATTAATAATATTTTAAGGCAAGAGTATATACATTTATTAGAAGGCAGGTGCAGGAAAGTCTAAAAATATTACCCCTAAGACAAAATCCATTATTTAAATTTACAAATAAAACTTAAAAGATAATTTAAGATTCCTTAGTTTTTTCTACTATCCTGCACTCTGGCTAATGCCACAACAAGCCTGTAGTACCCTCCAATAAAGACCCAACACCGGAGGAGCAATAAACTAAAGGAATGATCATGAATGTCATTTAACTAAAGCAGCCCACAAAGAAAAATAAACACAAATGTGTGCTGGGCATATGTAAATACAACTTGCTGCGGAAATGTTTGCCGCAATCATCCAACTCAGCATTCCAGCTCCCGGGACGAAGGTCCTGCTGAGTTGCCAAAAAGACACTGAAAATAAGAACGATGTTGTTAACCTTTCTAGTTTTAATTCTTATTAGATTATAGTTGAAAAAAAAAGGAAGAAATAAACCCTTGATTATGACTTACCTTAATGCCCCACCTTTGAAAAGTAATCCAGTTTTTTTCAGTGTAGGGTCGTCCCTCAATTCAACTCGAACCGCTCGTAATAATGACATTGGCAGCGGTTTCCTTTTTTTGGGGTCCCTGTTGCTTTGGAGTTGTTTGGATGCCCGCCGTGTCCTTTGTTGCCACACGCTGCCTCTCTCTCTATCTCTCTCGATGATGTTCATTCCGTCTCTTTCTTCTGTCTGTCTATCTGTTTTTGTCGTCCCCCCCGGGGCATTCGAAAGGTGTAAAATGTAAATTGCCACCGCACTTTGTCCCTACAGTCTGTCCGTGCTTTTCTGCTGGCTTTGCTAATTGCTCAGCGTTTTTGTGTTGCCTACTTTTCAGCGTGTCCTGGACGGGTGACCTGCGAAAATGTTTACTCACAAAAATGGGTTGACTTGTGGCTTTGTTGTTCATGCATTTTTGTTTAAACATTGCAGGGGGAATGTGACAGGCAATTTGGGTCAAAATTTCCCAAGGCGAGGGCTAACTAACAATGTGGGTTATCGCAGAATTAAGTAATCTTTAGAGTGAGGATTAATCATGTGTTTTTGGAGAAGAAACTTTAATTTGGAAAAGTGTTGTCGTTTGCTTATCTTAGCAACCACTTTCCCCATTACTCACTACTCCACTTACTGCACTTGTATCTCTCAGATAAACCATCTCGAAGCTGACACGTAACACCAGCGACTGATTGCTAGAAATACTTTGTTCTCTTTCTTACTCGCTCTGTCCTCCTCTGGCCGATTGGAATGTTTGTTGTTACCGTGAATTGTTTATTTTGGCTTTTATTATCAGCGCGGTTTAATGTGTCTGTTGATGCTGATGCTGGTTTTCTCTCTTCTCCCGAAAGTCGGGCATTGGGCTCTTCTCTTAATATATTTTCAATATTTATGGCCGAGAGAACAGCTTTTGGCTGTCACAGCTGGCTCTCTCTCCGGCGTCCTGGCGTTTGCCTGTCCTTGTCCCTCTTATGGATCCTTTGTGTTTCGGTTACGTCGTTTGGGCTTCGTTTTCGGTTTAATTTCCTTTTTGTTTGTCTGGGTCTCTATTGCACAGTGGTTTCTAAATATTAAAAAAACTAACAATAAAAAAAAATATCTTTTTAGAAACTTTATCAAGATCAAGGTGATATATTTGTCCCTTTAAAAGGATAGTGTTTTTATTGCCTTTTTTAAGTACCTTTGGGATTATAACTTCAGAAACCATGGCGTGCCTATCGAGAGCTTTTTGCCTAAAGGGTCTTAGTCTTGACCCCTTCCACTGAATTCGATTTGTTTTCATATCTGTAGCGTGCTTAAGGTTCTCTTTCCTCGGCTCGTCCTGTCAAGGATAATGGACGTGCTTCTACCGGCAACGGGTCAGCAACAGGAATATCACCTCCGACTTATCAACTCCCACTTTTGGTCACTTTACCAATAAGAAGAGTGAATGTTTTTCCTTATAATTTATGGCATTGGAAGTAGCTTTGTATCTTTAATATTAAAGATATTATTTTTGTAACCTTTAAGGTAGCCTTTTTATTTTGCAATTATTTGTGGCAACAGTTCGACTGTAGCTTTTGTTGTTTGTCTTTGTTATTGTTGTTGTTCAGAGTCCTTAGCAATGTCGACGCACCGCCGGCTCAAGTGGTAAGGTGATGGGGGCCGGGGAAGGACCATAGAAGGGGAGTCGATGGGCGGGCATACCATCACACATCCTCTATTGTCCTTTATCTACGCCGTGCACTTCGTTGCCGTCACAGTCACATACACATCCAAGGGACGATGGACGACTGAGTTTCCCGACGAAAACCCGAATTCCGTATTTTCCGCATTGTATTTGCTGCTGCCACTGCTGCTGGTGGCCAGAGACATTAGGTTCATGTTCAGGTTCAGGTTCAGTCGTGAAGTAGTGCCGCTCGGGAAAGCACGACGCCACGCTTTCCTCGCCGGAAAACGGGAAACGGCAAGTCGGAAAAAAGTCGGGAAAACGCGCCTCCGAAGCCAGGCAGTATCTGTAAGGTTCACCCGGCAAACAGCGACGGCGGCAACAGTTTTCTCCCCAAAAGTGGAAGAATGGCTGGGCACCCATCATCGGGAGCTGTCGCGCCTCCGCCTGCGTCGCCCTCGTCCTCGACGCCACTTGAAAAGCCCCTCAAGCATACAGAAAATTGTCAAAATTAGAAGCCGTTCAATCGAATTTGTTCCTTAAGTGATTTTCATCATAAAGAGGATGTCTTTCCTCTAAAACAAAAAATTTAAGAAAAATATAAAAATAATAAACCGATTGTTGATTATCTGGATTCTATGGTGGCCATCTAGTAACTCAAGTACCGGCAGCAAAATGATGGATTGGGGCATAAGACGTAAGTCACTTTACACTTTCGAGCTCTACCTCCAGGGGCGTTAATGAGCGGTTAGGCCGCCAAGTGCCGAAGTGCCCTGGAAAGTGGGCTTCACAAACCACCCATCCAATCAACGGAAGTTTCTGCATTTTTCAAATACTTTTGTCGCAACTTTTTCGATTTTCGTCCTGGTGGAGGTCCTCGTCATGGTCCTGGTGGTAACTTATTAAGCGGTTGCGGTTTGTGGATTTTTCTATGTAATTGAGTTGGCAATTTTGCGTCGTTGATTGTCATGTTGGTTCAAGGATTTAATGGGCTGTGCTTTTCAACAGATTTTTAAAGAATATTGATTGGTTTTCTGTTATTAACTTAGTTCTTAAATGACCTCTGATGTTGTCTCAACACATTTAAGTTCCATTTGTCTGTCGTTAATACAATCTTGTTTGTTTAATCTAATTACACATATTTCGTTATTATTGGATATCTCTCCATGAGTTACCCCACAATTAGCTCCACAAACAAACCTTGGTAGTACTATCACAGCCGTTTAATATTTTTAGCAATCAATTAATTGGACATAATTACACTCCAGTGGAAAATCCAGTGTCAGCAAGGACAAACCAGGACAAACCAGTTGACCCTAACGAGTTAGGATCCCTAAAGGGCCAAGTTACTCGTGTCGGAACATCTGTTTGCCGTCTAAACCAATTCCCTCGACGCCCCCAAATCGAATAATGTCCTGGCATAATGACGTGTTCGGGATACCCTCCCGTTATTAATTTGAGAATATCTAATGGATCGCTTTCGGCTAAATGGGCCGAAATTTTCGTGCGAAGCCATATATATATTATTCATTGACACAGGACACTAACCAGGACTACTTTGATTGCCTTGATGACATTTCCTTTCCAAGCAGGACGAGCGAAAATTAACGCTACGTTTGTTTTTCCAATAAAAAAAAAGGAATCGTTTGGACTCCCAAGGACCTTCTCGTGGCAGAGGAAAAGGTCAGACCTAATGAAGCTAGAAAGGCTTTGGCTTCGGCGTAGACTTTGCTCCGTGGCTGCTCATAAATAATTGTGTTCCACCCACCTAGTACTACAGATTTCCTCAGGTCCTCAGGACCTTAGATGGTCCATAAAGTTGGCAAAATGCAGCGCATAATTCCCAGCCAGATTTTTTCTCGGGAAATTGGGAGCTGTCGACTTTTTACCGTGTCGGTCTGAAGCCCGTGAAGTGCAGTTTATTTTTAAGGCACAAGCCGCCAGATACTGTGGCCTGAAGGTCATCCATGGTCCTGGTT